GATGCAAATGGTGGGACCAGCAGTACACGACGATCCTTTGTCCAGCTACAGAGACAACACAACAGAGTGTGTTATCTACTCAGAAATCCAACAGCAGAAATACAGTTTTTTTTGTGTCAGGGGGCAGGAAGGGGAGGAATCAGGTGCTCACCTGTGCCGGGCTTTGGCCGTGCAGTACTTGAGGTTCTTGTCCGGCTCGTTCACCTGTCCTTCTCTCCAGCACTGGCCGCACACAAATTTCATTTTGAGGTTGAGAGGTCGTCCCCGCCCTGCTGCCGCTCCCAATCCACCAACCCCGACCCCGCCCATGGGGGCTACACCAACCCCAAGGCCATCTCCCCCCATTCCTCCCATACTGGTGCCCATTACCCCCATGCCCCCTGCAGCTATGCTGTTTGGATGAGGGATGTGGATGGGCTGAAGGACAGAGAGGGAGAAATTATCATTTAAAAAGATATGCGAGAATAGAAAGCACTGATCACAGGCCAACATACAAACAAGTGTAACCTTTCTGCATTTGCAGCATGTGAAAACAGGCAGGTGGCACTAAAGGGCACTCAAGGATAAAGCTATGAGGAGAGGATCAAGAATCAGCTTAGAGCTTAGGAAGAAAAACTTGTGTCAGTGACAAAAAAATATATTATAAATATCAAAGACAACATTGAGACTTTTTTTCAGTCCAAAAATGTAGTTTGCGTATCAAAATAGGTTCATTAGCCATAGTCAAATTAAATTAAAATATTTAAAATGTAGTCACACCATAGTGTTAAATTATTCATTGATTTATTGTGATTGCAATAATCATAATTAATCCTGATTGTAATCAGTCAGGATAAATGGTGATCCTTAAGCAATCCATTATGATGAATGAAGATATTTGCAGGACTTTCCGATTTAATCAGCAGCACAGAAGGAATCGAAACCTTTATGAAAATAAAACTGCTGATATTCAAGATTCCCGCTTCACCTTCTGCAGCTTCTGTGCATTCTGCTCCAGCCTCTGCCAGTGTCTCTTGGACTCTTGCACCATTTCTTCATGTGTTATACCTATAGAGAATATCGGAGGGGAAAAAAATCATCACCTGCTCCCTCAGAGTCTGTGGAACCTGTTCTAATGTTAAAAATCACAAATATTTCAGATTCTAATACTGACCAGTGTCCTGCTGTAGGACCCAGCATTTCAGCTCTATTACAGAGTGTGCGAAGGAGCAGCTGTCCTCACGCTGGCAGCCGTAGCGGACCTCGTGGCGACACACGTCAAACTGACAGAGGGGGTGCAGCGGGCGAACTTTACTGTAGCGCACGTTGGCCGACCTCACCACATGCACCAGGCACCTGCAGCACAAAAAGTTAAAAAACAAAATCAATAAAACACTAGGAGAATTTTATAGAATGTATCCATCAAGCTGTTTAATAATATGAATTATCATTATATCTAATATTATATTAGAAAAAACAAATAAGGTACAAAAACACTGAAGACCAACTTGTTGTCATCGAACGGATGTCGAGCTGTGAGGTTTGAGCAGACCGCGAGGTTTTCCTTGCTGCGTTTGCTGATAATTCGAGGCTTACTGTCGAAGCATTCCTGTAGAAAAAGGAAAGAGTTTTTAAACTTTTTAAAACAAATATAAACACTGAAAACAGAGGAGGCCCAAATACTAAGTTCAACTCAAGACCTAGCCTTAGAGAAAGGAGCAATTTCTCAGGGTCTTACCTCACAGAGGAACATAAACATGCCCATGTGGAGCTGCAGCAGTCGGGTGACGCTGAGTGCCCGTCGCTCTGTGCTGCCCAGTGGATCAAACAGGAGCTCTCGGCTCAGAGCGCCCTTTCGCTCTTGTGTCCACACGTCAATCTCTTCCTGACAGTAGGCAAATGTGCAGTTCTCCCCATACTGACACTCCTGACGCTCCTGCACCTCTGAGGAAGAGAGCAGGTAGAAAAATTAGAAAAGAAATCAACACTGTATATTGACTTATATAGTAGCTGATAGAAGCTGAATTTTATTCCCCACTTAGATCTCCAGAGTTCATATGCACCTTTGCAGAGAACAAAGGCCCCCAGGAAGTTGTTGCGAACAGGCCGGGGTCGGATCCTCTTCCAAGTGGGATCGTCTGTGTTTTTGAGGCGACATAGCAGCACGTCCCTCTTACAACGATGTGCTGCCTCAGGCTGATATTTGTAGTCCATCACTCGTGGACCTGTGGGTGACGGGGAAGAGACTGACTTAAATGTAGGAAAATTCTATTTTGGGTAGTTTGGAGGCGTCATTGTAATGTTTCCAATCCTTGCCAAGTGTAACAGAGGTAAAAAAAAAAAAAATCTAGAAACTTAGTTGTCTCAAAACCCACCTATCCGACTGTAGCAGGCATGACAGGCCTGTCGAAACTCGTGAGTGGCTGCCAGTGGGTTCCTGGAGAGCAGTGAAAGGTTTGTTCCTGCTGGACCATTCTGATAAAGCAGGGGAAGGAGGAAAAGAAGTAGGAGGAAGAAAAGGAGAAGAAGAAGTGCTGTAAAAACCTGTTAAACCAGTCTGGGGCAGAATCACAAAATGTTTTGGTCAGTTTCAATTCAGTTTGTGCGTGTGTGTGTGTGTGTGTAACTCACTGGATGTCCAGCATTATTGTTGCGCATCCCTGGTATGAAGCTGTGACACACTCTTCCTCCTGACAATAGGCACAAGGACAAGCAGTTAAGAGGCTGACTCACACCATCTGCTGCTGCTACACACACACTGTATATACACATATGTTTGCATATATATATATATACATATATATACATATATATATATATATATATANNNNACACACACACACAGATAGATACATACATATATGCAAACTTTCTAAACAGCACTGCATACCAGGGAGAGTGTACTCCAACAACGAGTCCAGTCCGCCTGCGGTGACTCCTCCCTTCCCCTCTGCGTCCACAGCTCCTGTAGAAAAACCTCCCAGTGCGTCCTGCGCCTGGGTAGAGCCCTGGTCTCGCTGGGCCAGAGCCGAGTATGGATCCAGAGGGGGCATATCACTGATGGAGGAGGTGAAGAAAGGTGGCGAAAGCTGGGGCGACGGTGCTGTAAGATTCGGGGAGTATGGAGGCCTAAGACCAACTGCTGTGTTGGGAAGGTTGGTGGGGATAGCTCCCTGGACTGGATTCTGGAGTAACACACAGAGTTCAGAGTTTTGCATATGCTCAGAGCAGAAAAAATGCTGTAGAGGGCCAACACCAAAGGAGGTTTATTTTCTTTGACTTGCCTCACTTACTTTCTTGGGGATGCTTTCCAGCATCCCCAGACTGTCCAGCTCATTTTTCATAACACTGTTGCATTCATCAATATGCTCAGACACAGGAACAGAATAGGGCATTGGGGTCAAAGGCTGGCTGCTGGGGCTCTCTGACAAGTCAGTGCACGGGGTCACTGGCTCATCACTGACCGGGATGGGCGTGGCCAAGGGGGCTGGGATGCACTGTGCACTGGACATGTCCGCTACCAAGGAGAAAACAGCAGAGGCCAAGAGTAAACTCATTATGGTTTTACACACGTTTAGTCTGGTGATTTGAACATACCTGGTCCAATGTCGCCAAGGGATTCAAGTCCATTGGAGGACATCTAAAGACAGAAAAAGAGAAAGTAAAACCATCAGCCTCAACTTCTCAGCATCAAATTATCTTTGCTGAAATCGCAGCACGTACCTCTCCAGTAGGTGGTGAAGTCTCACTGTGATTCTCCCCTTCACTGGCTGCGGAATCCAACTGGCTCACGTAGGCTTTACGGCCCTTTAGACCCAGTTTACTCGCCAGATCCTGAGCCAGTTCACTGACCTGTTGATCCTAAGGAGACAGTGCAACAGAAAGAAAAAGTTACTCCTTTTTTCTAAATCACTCGTTAAACAGCTACCCTTACATTTTAAAATAACCTACGTGTGGTGCAGTCAGGAGACATTTGGTTCCACACTCATAGGCTTCTCTGAGTCTTCCCAACTCCCTCAGACAAAGTGCTTTACGATACAAAGCCCTGCGGCTGCCTTCTGACACATACAGTGCACTGTCACAGTCCTGAATCCCTCGGTCAAATTCCCTCTGAAAGAAGTAATGAATGTGATGTGAGAAAAGAAATACTGAGTGATACAGTATATGAATGGGAGTACCAATAAAAGTCAAAATAAAATGTTTATTACAGTTGGCTTTTCTCAATATTGTAACATCTGGAACAGAACCAACCAAACATCCCACAACTATGAAAGGAACCCTAACCTACAACAACATCTTGTCATGTAATTACAAAGCTTGCATTCCTTTTCTCCTCACCGTCTGATAAAAAGCAGCTGCCCTGTTCACGTAGAGACTCTCCAGCAGCTCATGAGGGATGAGGATGGCTTCAGCCTGTGCATAGCGAGCAACACTTATTCCTTCACCATACTGCTGGATGGCCTGACGACAGTCTCCGTCTCTGAAGCACGTGTTGCCCTCGTCCAGCAGGTTACAGACCAACTGGGTCAGGAATGGCTAAAGGGAACAGTAAAAGAGAAAAATAATAATAAGGAGTAAAATAAAAGAAAGCCATAAGGAATAATAACAACAATGCAACTCGAGCTGAGGGCCTCATTAAGATGCAAATAAATTACAATAAAAAACAAACCTCATAATTCTCGGGCTCCGGAAAAGGTAACGATAATCTACAGACAGGAATGAAAGGAGTTAGTGTTTTCGTGTGTGCCCAATTCTACTGTGTTAGCACGGACTACTTACGTGGACCTATTTAGTCATAACACTTACTGAATGAAGCTCATTGCTCTCTGGATCTCTTCTCTTCGATTTACTCTTTCGGGATCCATGACCTGAGGACGAGGGCAAAGTTCACATTCCTTAAAAGCTTCACTTGTCACACAACAACATTAAAGGCCGTGACACCTCCAACTTGACAACAAAATCACGGCCTTTGGAATTAAGTTATAGCAAGGATTGGAAAAAGTGTATTCTTAACCAAACCGGGCTTTGCCAGCAAAACATGGTAACGAATGAAGGGAGTTGCGTACACAAACATCGGGCACAGACAACGATGAAGCTAGGGACAAACTAGCATTGGTTAATCTGTTACTTATTTTATGACAGCGACAATACATCACAAAACCATGCAGTACTAGACAGGTGCGCATTTCCGATATAGTGACAATAAGCTTCCCCTTGGCTTGGTTTGCAGAACGTCATTACACAGAATGAAAGATGTAAAAGACGCGATTTGAGTTTGCGCTAGTGTTCAACTATTGCTAACTAAACGCTAACACGCTAATCACTTAAACCCAGCGTTTTCAAGGGGGACATTTTGAGGTAGAATTAAACGTTTTAGGAACAGTGTCTTTCGTCGTTAACTGTCTCTATTTCTATTGTTTAATTACAATACGCGAGTGTTAACTATCGGACTAAAGAACGCAACTCTTAAATGCGCTAACGAACTCACAGCTACTAGCACGACAACTCACCGAGTTGAGTTTCTGTGCTTTGCAGATCACAGACAGTTCCACGGAGAGACAGCGTTTAAACACAGAAAATCAGCCAGCTAAATCTCAGTCAACACCCATGCGCATATTTTTAAAGCGGTGTCCCGCGTGTGTCATTAGACAGTGGATGCCGCACGAATTTGTCCGCGCTGCAACCACTACTACAGACTCTGACTGGTCCTAGCTGATGCTAAGGCTAAGTAGCTGTAAACGATCAGTGCCGTAAAGCAGCAAAGATGATGGCAACAAGTCTCACGTATCCATTGCTGCAGAAGGGCAGTCAACAGTTTTTTAATAAATGGGTGTAAATATACAGTTTATACCAATAATCCATTTAATCACTGAAATCAAATAAACAAAAATACATTTTGATGTCTAAATATTAGTCGAAAGATCAAATATTATATAAAAAAACTCGAAAGATTAACGTGCTCGCCTGCAAACTTACTGGTAAGCACAAGAAAATGTAATATTTCCCAATGTCCTTTTAGGGGCTGTGTAATTTTTTACAAAAAGAAATCTTGGACATAGCTGAAAAGGTTGTCAAAAATATAAGACTGCAACGGTATATTTGCATGTTAATGTGGAAATACTCTGACGTATGCTACGCAAAGGTATATATGGCGTATGTGTATTTGGTTTATAAGTAAAAACAAAACGTTGATAACGCACCTTTTTACATTATGAACCAAATTGCAAACAGTAGTGTCAGATTACTGCGCTATCTGGTGTTGGAGCGCCGAAGAAACGGCAGGGGGCAGTAAAAAACTTGTCATCATTTGTCGCCGCGACACATTTAACGGAGAAGAAACATGGGCAGCATGATGACATCACATGGTGTAGTCACCGGCGCTCGGCGCGGAAGCAGCGGTGTATGGTATGGTGGAGCATTTTTCTGATAATTACACTATTCGGTAATTTTACAATGTAAAAAAAAAACATTCGATGTCTTATGTCGATCTGTGTGGATAGGATATGCTGAACAAGAATTTGTAAGGCACTGGTACAATGTTTACATCAAGTTTTTTCAGCACTACTGTCAGTGTTGCGCAGTGCCGCCACTTAGCTAGCCACCGGTATTGTTAGCCAGTTAGCTGATTGTCTGCCAGATTATTTCCGGGACCATCTAACCTGTTTACAATGTGGCAACTGTCGGATGACATATATTGACCTTTTAACGTTACTTCAGTTGGGCAGTTTCCGATCGTGTAACATCGGTTTGTATATGTTTCAAAATGGACATAACATCTGGTGTTATCGATGAATGGTGGTTATTGTTTAACTTTTTTTTCCTGTAAACTCTAATAATTGAATGATTTTAATGGATGCCGCTGGCTGTCTCTCACAGACTCATTATGGCCTCGGATGACATCTCACAGCTGGCTGATGCCCTCGCCAAGACACATGTAGGAGATGGAGAGTTGAGCTACAAAGGCCTGGGACGAAAGCTGGACGATGCAGATTCAGGTCAGGTGCTGAACAAGACCCAAGAGCCTACCTTTTTTCACCCTGCAGACTTTTTCATTAGTTACTTTCCTTTCAGTGGAGGACCTGGTCCATGAGATAGAACATTACCAGGGTCTGAGAGCGCTGCGTCTGGAGGGGAACACTGTGGGAGTAGAGGCAGCTCGGGCCATTGCCAAGGCTTTGGAGAGTAAAGACCTGCTTCAGGTATTTCTCTGTCAATTCTAATTGACATCAGTTGAATAAACACAACCATATCAACTTAAAGACTTGCAATGAAAAATGGCAAAGATTTTAGAAACATAGAAGCTGTGAAATAACCTCACAGAGTAACAAATCATTGTCTTCATTCCTGACCTTCTCAGAGATGCTACTGGAGCGATATGTTCACAGGAAGACTACGTTCTGAAATCCCAACAGCTCTGGTAACGTTTTTAGTGATGAGTGCTGCTGCCATGTCTTTCTGAGCATGCTCAGAACATACTGACTATGTCTTTTCTTATCAGAGGTCTTTGGGCAGTGGATTAATGACTGCAGGAGCCAGGCTGACTGAGCTGGACCTGAGCGACAATGCGTTCGGACCAGATGGTGTGAAGGGAATTGAAAAGCTGTTAAGAAGCCCATGCTGCCACACTTTAAGGGAACTGAGACTTAACAACTGTGGCATGGGGGTCGGTGGAGGAAAGGTGGGTTTTAATGTCTTTATTTAAAATTGTGTTATTATTCCAGTTATTGCCCTTAGAATCCATTTCCTAACTGTGGTGAACGGTTTTTGTTTCAGATCCTGGCTGAAGCTCTGATTGAGTGTCACAGACAGTCATCTGCTCACGGAGCTCCCCTCAAATTGCGGGTGTTTGTTGCAGGAAGGAACCGCCTGGAAAATGACGGAGCCAGTGCCTTGGCCAAAGCCTTTCAGGTAAAAACAGACAAAAAGCTGTCTCAAAAATTGAATAATAATTTGGTTTGAATTCACAAGAAAAGTAATGAATTAAACTCTGATTAGGCCTTTGGTTTTGGTGTGCATTCATTGAAGCTAAGATGCCAGAAGATGTGTAGCCTTAGGTTTTGGAGGATTTGGATTCTGACCATGTTTCTGTTTTTTCTGTTAGCTGATGGGCAGCCTGGAGGAAGTCCACATGCCTCAGAACGGTATCAACCACTTGGGTGTAATGGCATTAGCTTCAGCCATGAAACACAACCCAGAACTGTGTGTCCTCAACTTGAACGACAACACCTTCACCAAGAAGGGCACCATGGCCATGGCACAGGTGAGGAGTTTTCCTGTTTAGACTTTTTCAATTAAGATAGTTCTTGGTGCACAATTGAACACTGAAAATATTTTGGGGTTTTTGTGACGTAGGCTCTGAAGTATCTGAGAAATGTCCAGGTGATTAACTTTGGCGACTGTCTAGTTCGATCTGAGGGCGCCATCGCCCTCGCTGCAGTTCTAAGAGATGGGCTGCCCATTCTCAAGGTAGGTTTACAGTGAAGAGTGCTGCATTCCTTGTCTGCTGAATATCTTCTCTCACCCCTGCTATCTGCCATGCTATCTGCAGGAGCTGAATTTGTCATTTGGTGAGATCACAGAGGCAGCAGCGCTGGTCGTGGCTCACGCCGTCATGGACAAACCTCACATGGAGAAACTGGACCTAAACGGTAAGTGACCACCGGAAAGAAAAGGTCTCTTTGTCAAAGAATGAGTAAAAATCTGAATGAAATAGATAAAAATGTTTTTTTTACATTTTCAATTTGCAAAGGAAACTGTCTGGGAGAAGAAGGCTGTGAGGCTCTGAGAGAAGCCATGGAGAACATGGACAGAGGAGACATGTTGGCTTCCCTCAGGTAACGTCAGTCTGAAGTAGAATAACCCTTCTGTTAATATTTGCTTTTTTAAGCAAGTTGTGATTTATTTTGATAAAACAATTATGTGAAAACTGTACATTATAAGATAGTACTAAGAAGAAGTAATTGGGTCTGTTATGAAGCATGACAGCGGCTCTGTTTGATAGACAAAAGGCTGAGTGGAGGAGATAAAGATGCTGAGATTTCCACTGGGAGTAACCAGGATTTGAAGGGACAGTCAAGGTTGAGCAGTTTGGAGATAAAGTCAGAGAGGCCAGGTGGAGGTGGTTTGGATATGTGTTGAGGAGAGATGGTGAATATATTAGAAAAAATGTACTAAAGATGGAGCTTCCAGGAGAGAGAAGAGGAAGACAGAGGAGGTTTGTGGATGTTGTAAGAGAAGACATTGAGATAGTTGGAATAAAAGCAAGGAAGAGGGTGAGATGGAGGCAGATGATCTGCTGTGGCGACCCCTGCAGGGGACAGCCTGAAGAAGATTTGACAGATACTTTATGTGAAAAAGAACAAGCTTCATTCAATAGCACAACTCATATTTAGCTTCTCTTTCTCTGCAGTGATGATGAGGGGGAACCTGATGATGAAGATGACGATGAAAATGACAATGCCGAAATTGAGGATGCAGAAGATGATGTAAGTGAAGATTCCAGTGAGGATGATGAAGAAATCGTCATGGGGAATGGCACCAAGGGAAATGACAGTCCAGTAAGTTGAATAAACGCGTCTTGACCTGTTCTCTCTGACCAACAGAGAAGTGGAAATAGTGGATCAACATTCCTAATTTGGTGTTGTTTGATTCTTGCAGGAACATTGACATGATGAAATCCTGCAGTGTCGCCAGGGAGAGACTGAGCACTGCTCTGGAGAAAGGATGTCATGACAAACACACACACACACACACACACACACACACACACACACATCCATCCACACTCCATCATCCAAACACAACAGAAATTCCCTTCGCTTGAACTGTGAAAAACCACTGGTCTTCTCCTCTCTTGACTGTTGTATATTTGATGAAGGCTGTCCAGAATATCTTAATAGTTTCCTTTACTTTATTTTTATTTTTCTACTGATTGCTGTTGTATTTTTCTAGAAAAAAAGAAAGAAAGTAATACTGGTGAAAAACTAAAACTACACTTAAACAAATTGTAGAAGTTAAAATGTGAAATGAAAAATAAGAGAAAAAGTGGAGGAAATATCTGGAACATTTTCCACCACCTCTGATTATTTGTATCCTCATCCTTTTCCTCACTATTATTCTACTGAATAACAGGGAAACATGTTATGATATAATTTGCATTTGTTACAATGTGTTTAGGTTATTTAAGGGAAGCAGGTGAAGAGGATTCTCCTTGACTGCATTATAATTGAGTTAATGTTTTTTGAATATTTTGTCCAGAATATAACACTTTTAACCAAAACCTGGCTCCTTGTCCATATGTATCGTGTACATAATATGTGGCTTTTCTGCACAATACTATAAGATGGTATGGTGGGGTTTTTTTTCTTTAGCATTTTAGTTTTTTTTTAATCAAAGATTTTATCTTAAATTTACTTGTAAATCCCATTTAACTTTTTTTTTTTACAAATGCTTATGATTTATTATAGAATTGAGATAAGACAATACAATTATGAGAATACAATTGTAGGTTTATTAAATTACCTTCTGTGTTGTTACATTTTCTCTTTTAAAGTAGGTCTTTTAATAATGCGTCACTTAATATTTATTTGTTTATTTATTTTTAAACTAAAAAAAGGAACTTTTGGACGGTCCCTAAGTAAAAGTCTCGAATGAATGAGAAACAGTAAGTGTGTGTATGATAGAAGTTTGTTTTGACCGTGAGTACGGAAAGACAGAAGGACCAAACGACAAGAAACGAATCATCAGCTTCAGCCTCCAGTCAACGACCTGCGACGAACAGGACCACAGCAAATCCACGGTCAGTCTGTCCGTCAAAATCATCAACTTTACTTTAACAAATCACTTTGTTTTTGTAATTTTTTTCTGGCTGTAGTAATTAAATTCTGGCTGCAGTAATTCAAATCGTGACGTCGTTTACTATTATATAGAAAACACACTTGGAGGATTTTTTTCTTTTTAAATGCAGAAACTAGTACTTTACAAAATAGTGAATTATTTTTTTGTAAGTTTTTATATCTATTGGAATTTTGTCAATTTATGTTAAAAGTAGACATGCTTATTTTATTAAATATAAAACAATAAAATAAAAACATTTCAAGTATATGTTTTGGGATTTTAGGCAGAATTTACAATTAATGCGCAATCAGTCTGTGTTTTAAGTAGGAATTAAACCTGGATTAAAAGTATTGCAGAAGTTTTTACATTCACTCTCTACTCTGTCACCAGCCAAAGGACACACACATACACACACACACACACTGAGACACACTCCACCACAGTGTCAGGGATAGACAGTGTGTGTCTTTGTGCACTGAGGGGACTCCAGCTCCTCTGCGGTTTTGCAGGGTTGATCCCTGGAGGGAAATGTGGGCAAACAGTCCAGGAGGAGGAAATTCCTCCGTCTCTAGTTTCTTACTCTCTCTTACTGCACATGCAAGGGGTCGAATATAAGGGAGAAAAGAGAGAAAGGAATTGCTGAAATAAAACCAGCTATATTAAATAAAGAATGGCCTTAAGTAAATAAATGTAAAGCATTTATGAAGTCTGCTTGCTGATATAAATTCGTTTGTCATTTCCTTCTTTCTAGACTTGGGGGTGGGAGGGCAATCCAGCTTTTCAAATCCTGTGGATCAGAACTGATCCAACAGGGAAATGACACTAGTCCTCAGAAGTTCAGATGGTGGGGGGAAACAAAACCAAGAAAGATAGCTTAAAGTACCAAGAGCTACAAATATCAAGAAAGAAGGAAAGATAATAACAGTCTGTCGAAAAACAAAATAACAGAAACCTAGCACTAAAATGTACTAGAAATGCAACCAAGAAATGGATAAAAGAAGAAACTCCAAAATCCCAGCTAATTCCTGCAGACCCTACAGATAAACGTTAACCGAGTTTTTCCAGCCACATTTTGAAGCCCTGACCTGATGATCAGGATGATGACAACCTAAATTCTGATGTTTGATCCCAGCTGGCTCTTGTTTCGTCTGCCCCTCAGATGTGTCCTCATCTCTCTCCTGACTCTCTGTGGACTTCACTGCTCTGCGTCCTGCTCCTCTGGATCCCTGCTACAAACACTGCTAAATGTCCACAGCAGTGTTTCTGTGACCAGATCCAGCTCACGGTGGCCTGTGTCAACAAGAACCTGACCCAAGTGCCTGCTACTATTGATGAGGTTCTGCCTTCTCCATTCTGAAATTGTACACTTTTGTTCCATTTTATTCTTTTTTCTATTAAATCTCTTCTCTGCTCAGATCACGGTGAAGTTAGATCTTCGAGGTAATGATATCCAGGAACTTCCAACTGGAGCGTTCAAACATACGCCCTACCTGACTCACCTGTCCCTGCAGCGCTGTAACATCCTCAAGGTAAAAGAGGGGGCATTTCGTGGACTTGGGCGCCTGGTGTTCCTCAACCTGGCCAACAACAACATTGAGATCCTCTATCAGGTGATCACCCAGATCACACACACTATTACACAATATCTCCAAGACGGGGCTTAAACCAGCTGAGGACGTCTCCACAGCCCTTCCTTCTGCAGCCACGTCAGCTTGTAGAGGAAAAACGCTTCTCCTTTGTGTTTGTCTCTGGATGAAGGAGTCCTTCGATGGACTGTCCTCACTGAAGCAGCTGCTCATCGACCGTAACCGTGTAGAGGAGATCCAACCAGGAGCATTTTCTCAGCTGGGTTTCCTTAACCTGCTCTCCATCACACACAATCAACTCGTTTACATCCCCAACATGGCCTTCCAGGTACACCTCAAAATAAAAGCTTAATTACACTTAAAAAAGCCTTGAACTGTCCCTTTACTGTCTGATGTCTTTGATGACCAGGGCTTACAGAACATCAAATGGCTTCGTCTCAGTCACAACTCTCTGAACTACCTGGACACTGAGGCCTTTGCTAGTCTGGTCACACTCAACCGCCTCAGTCTGGACCACAATGCACTGCAGTTCTTCCCCACAGAGACCATGACCAGGTAGGTGAGTAGGTGAGCTTTGAAGTCATTCATTCATCTTTTACAGCTTCATGACTTCTGAGTTATTTTATTGCCAATCACAACATGTCACTGAGTTCCTCTGGCATATTTCAAAGACTAACTTCCCTTTATCTTCCTTTCTAGACTACCAGAGGTGACGCGTCTGGATCTGGGCTACAACCCCATGACCTATCTTGGAGAAGAGGCCGTGTCCATGGCCAAGCTCACCCACTTGTTCATGGACCACATGTCTCTGCAGGACATGGCCATCACTGCTGTTTCCAAATGTCCCAACCTAATCCACCTGGACATCAGCTACAACCAGCTGCGTGTCCTCCAGCCATTCTCTGAAGGTTCACCAAACCTGGCTCGCCTTAACCTGGCTGGAAACCCCATCTACTGCAACTGCTACATGCGACCACTCAAGTACAGGAGACTTCAAACGGGCTGGTGATTGTTGTTTCATCTACTGTCGCTACCTTGACCTCTGCTTTCCTGACCCTGCAGGGTGTGGTCCATGATTAGCAAGGTGAAGCTGATAGGAACATGTGGAGGACCAGCCCATCTTTCTGGAGAAACCCTGGGGGCAGTCTATCCTGCAGAGCTACGCTGTCAAAGTCAGGAGGCCATGCTAAAGGCTGAGCTGGAAGAAGCAGCCAGGATCACTCCTCCACCCACAGAAGAGCCAGAGAACAAGATCAAGTGTCCGGCCAAATGCGTCTGCGAGGTGACGACTGGACCTTCAACACATTTAAGAAGTGACCAGTCATTTTATAGAACCATAATGTGATTTTATCTCCGTGTCCAGGCAGTGACGCATCACTCTTCCTGTGAAAACCAAGGCCACACTAAGGTTCCTCGGGGCTTCTCTCCTAACACTCGCCTCCTCGACCTGAGAGGCAACCACTTCCATCACATCCCTGAAAACAGTTTCCCAGGTGTGGTGCAGGTGGTGTCCCTGCATCTGCAGCGCTGCAAGATTGTGGAGGTAGAGGATAGAGCTTTCAGTGGGATGAAAGGTCTGATCTACCTGTACCTGTCTGAGAATGACCTCTCATCCCTCAGCCCTGATGCCTTCAAAGGTCAACCATACAATCATCCATGGCAGTACTTTGATTCTTAAACCTGTATCGGTTTATTGTCACTTTTACTTTGTGCAGAATTACAAAACTGCTGACATACAACTTTAACTTTTGTTAAATGTTTGTCATCCTTGTTAATTGAGATAAAAACTTTGTATTGACTTTATTACAGCAATGATAAGTGGATGGACCACATTGGGGAAATTGTTCAAATGTCTTGACTAACTTCTGTATTCACAGGTCTGCCACAGCTTACTTACTTGCACCTGGAGAAAAACCGCTTCACCATCTTCCCTAAGGGAGCCTTCAAACCGGTGCCCAGCCTGCTAGCACTTCATCTGGACAACAATGCCATCACCAAGCTGGAGCCTGGCATCCTGACTGGAGCGGAGGGTCTGAGATCACTGGTCCTCACTGGCAACGCCATCAATGGCATTTCCTCCACAGCTCTGGAGCACGCCAGTGACCTGGATGTTCTCCACCTGGGAGGAAACAGGTTGAAGAAGGTTCCTACTGAGGTGCTGAGCAAGGTGGAGAACCTGAGAGACCTGAGGTTGTCTGGGAACCCCATACGCTGGATTGGTCCACATGCGTTCCAGCCAGTAGAAAGGTCACTGAAGGAGCTGTATCTGGATAACATGGGACTGGAGAAGGTTTGTTGCCTACAGATGACATGACATTCAAACCTTTATTTTTAAACTCTATCATCGCTTTCTCTCCATTCAATTTCTGATGTCACACGCCAGATGTCACCAGACTCCCTGACAGGCTTGGGTCCACGGTTGAGAAGTCTTTTTCTGGAGGGAAACAAGCTGGAGGAGGTTCCTGACCTCCAGCCTTTTACTTCCTTGGAGGTCATCAATCTGGCAGATAATCCTCTGATGTGTGATTGCCCCCTGCTGCCACTACGCTTGTAAGACAAGTGCAGCACTCCAGTGTAGCCTGGAGCCTAGTGAAACATAAAAGTAATACAATTATATTATACATTTAATTATGTTTCCAGGGTAGGCAAAGTTTACCATTCGAAATCTGTTCTACTGTAGGATCTTTTAAGTACTCATTAATTGTTTCTCTTTGCATTTCTAAAACTACTAAAACAGGCCATTTGAACCAACACTGTAGATAGCAAGCTTCTTTTTTGCCTCTCTTTCTAGATGGATTGAGAAGGTCAACCTGAAGGTGCGAGCCACCTGTGCCAACCCCCCGGAGCTGAAGGGTCGTCGAGTCAAAGACGTCCACGTCTTCAAGGCCTGTCCTGGAGGAGAGAGACTCCCGTCTATCCCAACTCCGAAGCCCACAATGGCGACCAAGACAACGAAACCTAAACTGATGCGGTCTAAAAACCAAGTGAAAGCCAAGTCCAGACTTCAGAAGCGTCCAAATACTAGAACAGCAGCAGCTAAAAAAGCCAGACGTGGGAGCATGGCCTGAGCCTGTGGACTTTCAGCCAGACCTGGACCTGCACAGACTGTAAAACTACTGAAAGTTTCAGTAGTAAATCAGCTGTAAATCCAACTACATACATATTTCCATGCAGTATTTTGTATGTTTGATCCTTTTTAATCTAATTTATAGTAAATGTATTTTATTTAGTGAACCAACTTTTCTAGAAATACAGTGTGTTCTATTTTCACATTTGTACTCAGTTGTTTTATTCCTCCAGTCTCTGCTGCTCAGAACAGCTCTCCTCATGTACTCTCTGGTCCAGCACCTGGTGGTCCATATCTTCATCATTCTCACTCTGCTCCTCCCACGGTGCCTGCTCCTCAGGTTCTTCTGCCTCCTCTGGGTTCTTCTTCACACACACTACATTTGAAGAGCAGTCCTCTTCAAACTTCTCATGTTCTTCTGATGTACTCCGCTCCACTTCCTCCTTTTTGACCACACCTGGATAGACCTGCACAGGGCTCTTTGGAGGCTCGATGGCTATCTCCGTCTCCATCTCCTCCACCTTGACACACACAGAGAAGACTACAAAGACAGACAGCAGTTTGATTTTGACCACAAAGGATGGGTAATAACAACAACCTTGTTTTTCATTTTGTCCACTCACCTTCCTGTTCCTCTGGCTCAGCCTTTGGTTGAACTAACAACATATTGGGAGGTGGGCTAAAGTCTCCTGACCCTGAAGAACTCAAAATGCCAGTGACCTTTGACACCTGCCCAGCACCACCTTTAGCAGTTTCATCAGTAACACTCTTCCTGCCACACCGTCTTCCTGCAGGAAGTGAGGAAAAAACAGACGGATGAACAGTTTCTGATGATCTACATTTTTTGTACAAAAGACAACAAAAAAACTCACTCTTTTTTCTGATATACTGCCTGCATTTCTTGGTCCGCACCGCCTGCTGTGTGTTCAATGCAACTGGAAACAGAATAAAATACCCATTTAATTTAAAACATCTATGACCAACGATATCAGCAAACGTTAAAGTTAAAGTTCTGAACCTGAAAGGTTCTATCAATCATCACACATCACTGCATTTCTTACCAAGACCTGGAGGAGGCTGAAGCTGGTAGCCCACCAGGTCACACCAGCCCACGGGGTAAATGTCTGGAGACTGGTGATCGAACCACTGGTCAAACTCATCCTCCCAGCCGTCAAAGTGGATGAGCAGCAGACGGCCGACGCAGCGCTTCACCGTGGCCACACACACCAGACGTGGCTCCATCAGGTCCACTGCCTCCAACTTCATGTTGGCGGCAAAACCATGACCTGGATAGTCCTGGAGTGGGAGACGTGGGAGATGTCAGTAAGGCGAGTGTGTGAACAGTAAGAGATGCAGCCGTGTTTGGGCTTCCTGTCTTACTGTGTTGAACAGTCGTGCAGGTGCAGCTTCAGCTCTGTTCTCTTTCAGGTATGTTTCCCAGCTGAAGGTCTGAGAGTCATAACCTAATGGGAAAAAGAAGAATCTTTCATTAATGGAAAAACCACTGAAAAATACAAACACTTGTTGAAGCTATGGATCATTAACTTTAGTTTATGTATATTTAATGTATTTTTATACGGTCTACGGTCTATTTATACAGTCTATCTTTGTCTCCATTTGCTGATGGAGACAAAGAGAAGGTACGACGGCGTCCCTGAAAATATTTTCAGGTCTGTTTTCAAATCTGTCTTCACTCTTATCCAAGACCAAACAGATGCAGAGAAATGGTGTGTGTGATGAACTGCACCACGTGTGTTCATGTTCACCTGCAGGCACGGTCAAAGTGATGTCGTTCTTTTTACAAAACCCAGCAGGAAAGATGGCGTGAGAGGACGCGTGGTAACAAAACCAGTCGGAGCTGCTGGCAGACGTAGTTGTGTCAATGCCGATCATCAGGTAACCGTCCAAGAGAACCTGGACAAGAGGAAAAAACAGGTGACACCAGGGACACCAGATGGGTGTTATTTATATAAGACAGGCTGAGGATGAATTTACTTCATTTTCACAAGACGATTTCAGAGATTAGAATAAAAAAAAGAACAGTAACAGCTGTTTTACCTTTTGTACTGAGGCCACGCAGATGTTCCCCAGGTTCAGAGGGTCGATGACCTCCAGCTTCATCCCTTCTTTGAAGAATCCTCCTTCCATGAAGACCACCCTGGGCTGCACATCACAGAACAACAACAACAACAACAACAAATCCCCATCACCCATGGGGAAAAAAACAGAAGTGTTTAATAAAATAAAAATGTTCATGGTGCCACCCCCGGAATATCAATATAGTTAGTAGTATTTTAGCTTCAATAAAAGACATACAGTATGAAGAGGACAAACAAGTCTTGATAAATGTTCATTGGTGATAGGACAACAGCAATGTTAAACCAAAAAATAGTTATTTAGGTTTCAGGTTATTCAGGTTGGAAATGTATAAGTTTAGAGAAGCAACTTTGAATTTTTTTTACCCTTTTAAAGATACTCCAACTGTTGTAACCACACTTTGCACCATCTGCTGAAAACATCAAGAGAATTCAGAGAAACGTTAGAACGAAAGCATTTTAAAATGTTAAATTCACATTTCTCCTTACAACTTACCAACCGTATCCTTAATGGTATGACCCACTTTTGTAGACCAGCCCACAGGGTGGAGCAGTGGACTCAACATGTGGCACCAGAAGTCAGATGTCTCCACCTCGCTGCTGGAGTCCCCCCGGTTCAGGTACAGCAGTTGCAGTCGTCCTCCAATGATGGTGTCAACAATGGCGACTCGGGTTTGGCTCACGTGCTTAGGATCCACCACCTCCACCTGCATGCCCAACTTAAAAGGGGTCTTCATGCTCTCAGCCAACTGCAAATTATAACAGAAAAAAAATAATGTGCAAAAGTGAGTTGGAATTTTTTTGTTGGAGGTGGGAAGATGAGAGGATAGAGACAGAGGAGGACAAGTGAAAAAAAATGGTTTGGAAGAGAAGTAACCAGATGGCAAAGGAGGAAGATGAGAAGGAGGAGGAGAAGTAAGACCACTCCACTATTATAGAATACAAAAGTCTAGTTTTACCTTCAGGTAAAAGTCAACAGGCAGAGTGCTGCTGCCCACGAGCTTCTTCATCAAGTATTCCTTCCAGTCTGTAATGGTCTGCACAGAACAACCAAGACACACACACACACACACACACACAGATTATCAATAAAAAATATTCTTTCCCCACTTTCTTCAAATCAAACTCTTCTCCAGCTCAGATTGCAGTTTCCATCCTCACCATGAGGGGGCACCAGCAGTTTGCTAGTCATGGCCGACCACCCGATGGGCTTCAGCTCTCCTGAGATCAGGCAGGACCAGAAATCGTGGCTGCTGTCGTCCTCAAAACCTTCATATCTCAGCAGGGCTTTGTATCCTGCACACCAACACAGTGAAGAGTAAGAAATCAGGAATTTGATACCTTGAAAAAATTAAGGAGGGATTAAATTCTCAAACACACCAGCGATCTGGATAACAGTTGCGATCCAGAAGACTTTACTGGGCAGGACTGCATTGGTGTTGAGAACTTCCACCTTCATCCCTACAGTCACATCATCCCAATGGGAACACTGTGGAGCCTGCAAACAAAAACAAGGTTTTCTTTAAATGTCAGTGCTTATGTACAGTATTTATGGTCACCACGTGTCTCAGTAGTTTAATCGGAGTCATCACTTTTAGTCAATACAACGTCAAGAGAGGAAAAAACACAAAAATCAGCAAACCTCTCCACACATACACCCTCAACCCAGTACTGAAAACTTCATCCAGACTCACGTGTCTGAAGCAGGAGACGGGCACAGCCAGGGAATTTTCCTTTTCCAAGTAGCTTCCCCAGTCGAATTCTGAAGATCCAGCCTGGGAAAAGGTGTTTGGAGTGGAAGGAGCTTTGTTCATCCTTTTCAACACAATAGCTTTTCTGGAGAGAGGCTTTCCCTATAGGAAAACAAAGTCAGGTTTATCCATAGGAACTGAAACCAAACAGGATACAATACAGATACGACTGTGACCTAATGTAAAATATTTTCACACAAATATTAGTTACATGAGAAGATTCCAAGTAAAAAGACATGAGTGATAACGAACATTGTTTAAAACGTTTAAAAATAAACTTGCTCTTCCTTAAATATCACAACTTCCAGGGCCTGTGGTTTCCTTACAGTATAACGGGCTGCAGCGACATCTAGGGGTAAACTTTCAAGGTGCAACCAACTAACAATCATTATGATATAAGATATAACAGATATTGTCGAAATATCAAGCAGCTAGACTAATCAACTATGCACGTGTTTGTGTGTGTGTGTGTGTTACACTTTTTTTATACAATTTTTTATTACCTTCAGACGAGCCAGTATGGAGGACTTTTTAGAGTTTGATGAATAGGACCGAGAGCAAGACAAACTACAGAATCGTTTGGTCTTTGAAAAGAATGTGTTGAATGTGCCCGTTGTTCCACACATCTCACAAACCACTGTATAAATGTAAAAATGGTTGGGTTAACATTGCTCATCTCAAACCAAAATTCTCGTTCTTTTTTGTGGGTTTCACCTTTCGTATGTACAGGTTTGATTGTTTTCATTTTTCTCCTCCTCTTCGCCTCAACTCCTCCAACCTGATCGGGTTGCTCTTCACTGTGTTCAGCCTGTAATATATGAGGTTTTGGAATTAAACAGTCATGGAGGTAATACATCTTGGTGATCTTTGCACTGATGCTATAGATAAAAAATCTCACCCATGTCTCATCGCTGATGCCCTTGTGCTGGCCCACAGGCAGGCAGTTTTTACAGCCGACTCCACTGCAGGAGGAGCAGGAAGGACGGACAAACACTGTAGGAACAGCTCCCGACTTTAGTTTCATGTCAGTGGAAGGTTGTCTATGCTCAAAGTACTCTTTTCCAAAATGATCGCTGCAAAGGTAGGAGTGGATCGAGGCAATCCAGTTAGGTTTGGACCGCTGGACCTGTCTCTCCCATTTACAAAATTCCTCAGTGTCTTTGGGGAATTTAAACAAAGTCACATCATCTTCTGCGGTTTTGCCACATCTGTAAGCCACACAGTGAGGTTTCCTGTCTCGTCCTTCACCACAGACTCTCGTCGACTCCAGAGCAGGGGATGCATTAGTTGTTATGCTGACTTGTAAAGCCTTGTTTCCGGGGCTCTGCAGAGAAAAGTACAGCCACAACTCAATGCAACCCTTTTTTGTAAACACACTGTTGGCAGAATTATAAAAATAATTCTTGTTTATGACAACCGGGAGGCATGCGAGTATGTGCTTGTAGCATAAGGGGCTCAAGGCACCGCTTTTCACGACAGTGCTGTTTCTTAGCTACGGATCAATGGATAAAAATCTGGATTCAGACTTCGGTTTCAAATTTATTTTGTATTTACTTTGGTTACTACGGAGCCCTATGTTTTTAGTTGGAGAAACTGGTCACTCACGGATGGTAGTGCAAAATAAACCGGGGAATTGTGATTGTCCTCTGTGTCCAATGTTCCACATTCAGATGCTGTGGTGGGTTGTTTACATCCCAGCTGAGGAGCATCGAGCGTCTCCAGTTTTTTACGACATGCTCTAGCTCTCGTCTGCTTTAGCGATTTAGCTGACTCGTGGTAAAAGATGGTCGGAATAGCACTTGGTTTCAGTTTGCTTTTAAAGCCACTATTACGTTGTTTTAGCTTATTTAGCAACCGCGGTCGAGAACAGAACTCAAATGCATCATTGAGGAAATGTTGCGAACACAAACGCGGATCTATTGGGAGCTGTGTTCTTCCACAGGCTTTTTGCCATTCCGTTCTCCTCGGCTCATCGCTCGGAAAAGAATGTAGACTTATTTCGCTTTTCTGGTTGCTTTTTGACACGAAACTACAACCAAGCGCTACGCACTTTGGCATTTTATTTATTTTAGTCTACCGGTAAATAGGAAAAGTACATATAGCCTAATAAAAGCAATGTTTATTTTCACCTTCTGGTCTACGCGCATTCTCCGGCGCAGCATTTTCACGTCACTATTCCAGAATGCATTGCGCAGGAAACATAGTTGCAACTTCCGAAGTAATTTGACACTTATAACGAAGAGTTTTTGAACTGAAGTGAGGGTTTAGAATGTTCTTTAATTAACAATATCAAGACACGGAGATTAAGTATAGTTGGAATATGTATGACCAGTTTGAACTGATTCTAAGCATAGTGGGACTGAAAACATAAACAACAATACATTTATTGACTATTAGTGGTTCTATTTTTTTCTCCAAAAAATTTCACAAACCAGGTTGTTAGAGCAAGAAAAACTGAACTTGGTATAACTCTAACCTCACTTCTCAAACAGACCGAGCAGATATACATTGAAACACATTATATGTACATATATGTACACAATACAGGCAGAGGTTATACACTGCACATTCATAAAATGAAACTTACATTGATCTGTAACAGTATCTCTAACAACCAGTGATGCCTGCATCTAAAAAGGGAATCACACTTAAATGTGTGTGAATAGAATTAGTGATGAAAGCAAGAAAACCACTCTAATATGGTCAAGTGAACATGCACATCCACACTGACAGATGTCTTCCATGTGACCCCACCTGTATGTCTGTGATTCAGCTCCATTCATCACACAGACCAACACAATGTACACATGACGACGGAGTCCCTACTGAAAATACACTGTGACTTCACTTCACCATGAGGGCGTCTTGGTACATCTAAACCTACAGATTTGAAGTACGTCTCAGATTCAATTCTACCAATTAAAGAGTTTTTGATTCAACAGCAAAAATGGTTGGTGTCCTAACCTTGGGACAAAAAGGTCACCTGTGTGTGTGGGTTTCTCCAAGTACTGCAGTTTCCCCCAACAGTCCAAGAACTGGATTCGGTGAACCATTTTCTTGACCATTGGTATGAACAGGGGCATGGACATTTGTTTATCTCTTATTTGTGGCCTGCGATTGAATGGTGAAGTGTCCAGGTGATAAAAGAAATGCGTCTTCATTGTTTACATCAGAGAAGACTATAAAAAAACACATCCAGATTTAACAAAGGAATGACAAACATCTCGCCCTGGTGACAGACTGTGTTCAGATGTACCATTTTGGTCAACTCCCACCCTCAAATTGTGATGTTTCATTGCTTCAAACGTTGATCGTCTTACAAGATGTTGAACTGTGATGGCGAATCTCCAGGGAATAAAAGTGCCTTAAAAGTGTACTATAATAAACTGTAAATACTATAACTATGTATCTATAAATAGTCGGCACCACATAATTACTACAAACTTAGTTTAGCTTGTATTTATTTGATTAAATAATCTTTAAACAAAAAAAAAAGACTCATGATAAAATAGTTTCCAATGGTACAAACATACTTTATTGTACAATTAATTTATTGGCAAAAAAAACAATAAGACCACCAAAATAACTTAAAAAAGAAACTAATGAAAAATTTAGCAATTTATTTTTGCTTTCTCTCGGCAAGCACCAAAATTGTTAACAAGAGGAAAAAAAAAAAAAAAAAAAGAAAAGAAAAAATAAGTGGTCAAAGAATCCATTTGAGTAGGAAACAAATATTTAAATAGTCTCATTCTTCCAGTCTCTGTTCTCTTCAGGAGAAGAGGTGATAAAAAGGAAAGCATTTGTTCAGTTGCCAACAGTCTGTACAGTGATTCAGTATCTTTACAACTTTTATTTCATGTACATGAAAACAATTCTTCAAAACAAATGGTTTTTGTTTCACTCCACTGCCACCGCCTCCACCACTGTGACCGTCTGCAGTGTCATGTTTGCATCACCATAACATCTTTTAATACAAAACAAAAAACATCTTTTTTA